CAATGCGTAGCTTTCAGCCTCCAATTAACGTCTGTAAAACTACTAAAACAACGTATTGTGGTGAAAAATATTTGCCAATCATACTCAATAGACTCGGAACACTGCAGTTCCTGATTTAATTAAGGGTATTATTAAAAAGTACTCGTGCAGTAATCAATTAAACAGGGTAACGAATTGAAGGATAGATACAACTAGACTATAAGGACGCAAAATACGCGTAGGTACAACTAGACGTAGGGACTACTAGACGGAGGGACCACTAGTCGTAGAGACTACTAGTCGTAGGGACTACTAGTCGTAGGGACAACTGGTCGCATCCGTACAAGCTAGGTGATACTACTTGTCGGTGGGATACACGTCTAGTTGTACCTACGTCTACTCGTACCTACGTCTAGTTGTACCTCCTAAAAATCTGCAGGTACAACTAGTCGGGTGAGCCACCGTCTACTTGTCCCTCCGTCTAGTTGTACCTACGACTAGTTGTCCCTAGGCCTCGAGGTACAAGTAGACGGAGGGACAACGAGACGGAGGGACAACGAGACGCGGTCCCCTTATGGCCGGTACTTTTTCTTTTATGCTACTTATGACAGGTTTCAAATGAGCGCAGACCCCAACAAAATCATATCTTCTATTGTCTGAAAATGTAGCGTAGGATTTAGATTTAGTTTCTTTCTTTTCCGCATCGTAATAATAAACTACAACAGTATGGATGGATACCTGGTTCCTAGAACCTCCAAAGTGGAGGGATTGAACTTCTTGTGAATACTTACAACTGTAATTTTCTGAAAAATCACAATGTATTAGAATATCATTAGGACCCAAGCTCTGTTTTAGATTTGATATTACTCTGAACTGATGTTTAATATTACATACATGTTTCATTAAATCATCAAGCAAGTTGTTTCTGAAATGTAACAATAAATCCTTTTTGGAAGAGGTCACTTCTTCTTTCAATGTTTTGGTACAAACTTTATTTTCACCTCTTATTACTACTTCAACCCTTTTTTTGCACCATTGGTGGTAGGTAATTTCTCCATCCATGAATTCTTTAACTTCTAAATCTTTCTCTTTGCAATTTTCACAAAGTCTTTCTAAACATGCTTCTTTTAACTCTTCCCCACAAGTTAAACTTTTTAGAATGTCTGTAGGGTATTTAAAAGACAACATTTTTAATGAGTAAAGTTTGTCTAATGCCAATGCAAAATTTTCATGGTCAATGCAAAGGCATGTGTCCCGTTTTAAATAATCAGGTTGAACAACCCAGAATGGTCTTAGTTTACAGAATGTGCTGTAGGATATTTTTTGGTTCATTGATGATTTGATAAATTCATTGTACAAGTTTTTCATTGTATCATTAAGCAGCCTTTTCTGTTTTTTTTGCTTATTTTTTGTTTTTGTTTCCCTTTTGCCAGCAGTCAATCTGCTAACACTATCTTTTTCAAAAAAACTTTCAACTTCATTTTTTATTTTACAATTTTGTTTTAAGAGTTCAATGGTAACCTTTTTTCGGTTGGAACATATTTTTCTTGAAGTAATGGTACATATTCTTTGTTGTACTCTGTATTTTTTAACTATTTTCCCTGTTAAAACTCTTTCAAAAGCTCTTTTTTTGTTAGTACTTCTTTCAGAGACAAAGTTCAGATTTATCTGTTTCTTTAGAACCTCTCCAAAAAGTAAGTTTCTTCTGACTTCTTCAGAACACTTTCTGCTGCCTCTGAGCATTTTGTTGACCAACTTCCGAGGAGTCTCGTCTTTGGTAGAATTTAATCTGTAGTACCTTTGTTTATAACGGTCCCCTCTTTTTTTTAACTTTTTATTTTCTTCTTCCAATTTTGTTATTTTAGATTTCAATTCATCTCTGTTCTTTCTTCGTCTTTTTCTACCGCTGTCTTTCCTTGAACTTGATCCAGCGACAGGTAGGCCTACAGGATCTGCCAAAATATTTTCTTCATTTGGCCTATTATCGAGATGCATGATAGGACTTTCAGGAGGAGTGGCTATGTTTTCAATAAGCTCTGCCATTTTCTTTTTATTTTCTCGACTCTTTCTAGTTCTTTCCTTCCAACCCTTTCTGATCTTTCTTTTTTCTCTTTCAGATAGTTCGGATATTTTTTTTCTCGATGCTCGTTTCCTTTCCCTATCTTTGCGTTTTTGTTCCTCATATTTTTCAGGATTTTCTTCTTTCATTTTAGATCTCGCCCTTCTCATACTCAACTTTTTGGACTCCCGTGTCTTATCGACCTTCCCCATAATTGTTTTAATCTGGAAAAAATATCTGGCTATAGGTCACTAGTTTTAATTTTAAAAACTAACCAGCAGTATTGAAAACAAAAGATCTCTCATAAATAATAAAGTAGGGCCTAATAATAAATAGAATAAGTATTAGGTATAAGTTATTCAAAATAATAAGTATAATATAAAAAAGAAACTTCATTCTGTGAATAACTTAATATGCTGTCACGTCTGTGGTATATTCGTCACATCCGTGGAATACTTAAAGTAACAGACGTGACATCCACAGACGTGACAGATCAAAGGTTAATAGACCAATACTAGGTTGTATTTGAGGTTAGGATTCCAATAACTTGAAACTAAAGATTACTAATATAGCCACTAAACATTAATTAATGATAGTGTAGTAAAAATTGTATTACTTACCTCTTAATCTTAGCTACAGATGTGACACACAGTCATGAACAAGATTAACTTTTCTTACTGGACCACTCAAAAAACACATTTAATCATCACTTAACTAAGTTCAAACCATGCTGTCAATTCAAAATGGCTGCTGAAGGAGTAGAATCAACACTAGTATGTGCCACAGCTGCCATCTGCTGAATTATATTTGAACTACAAACTTCTTCCACAGACGTGACAATTTTGTTAGTGACACGACTTATGTGCTTAATAATTACATTTAAAACAGTTAATTTTGCTAATTGTATTGGCTTACTTCTTAATCAGGGTTGATTCTTCTATATAATACACTTTTAACCCATATTAAATGTTATTATGTGGGGGAAAATAGCTTATGAAGTACCTGAAAAACAGGTAGTGACATTCCACGGACGTGACTTGTCACAGTCTGTGGCTAATATATTTTTTTTAATAAGTTGAAATTGCAATTTTTTATTATTATTTAAGTTAGTTTAAAGAGTACTAAATATTATAATGCATATTTTTGTTGGTTTCTTTCTTAAATTTAAGGAGTAAATCATCAATGACACAGAAGTGCTCCTTTCATGGAGAATGACCCATGTACTGCCGCATGGCGCTAGCATTGCGGGTGACTCTAAGCCATTGTAGAATGCGGGCTTTATTTTGGGTTGGGATTGGTTAGGTTAGGTTAGGTCAGGTCAGGTCAGGTCAGGTCAGGTCAGGTCAGGTTAGGTTAGGTTAGTTACGGTTAGGTTAAGTTAGGTTAAGTTAGTTTAAGTAAGTTTGGTGTTTGGTTAGGTTAGGTTAGGTTAAGTAAGGTTAGGTTAAGTAAGGTTAGGTAAGGTTAAGTTTGGTTATTTTATTTTATTTTTATTTTACATTCCAACGGACAGCTCCATTTTGATATTTCGTACAAATTAGTGCAATACAAACAAGACCTTCTTAAATCTAGTTATAAAGTATGTTGAGTGAAAACAAATACTGTAATTTGGGTTAGGTTAGGTTAAGTTAGTTTAGGTTAGGTTAAGTTTGGTTAGGTTAGGTTAGGTTAGTTGATCAAAAACTTGAGTTTTGTAAGTAAATGAACCTAAAATTGTGGAATGTGGGTTTTATTTAAGGTTAGGTTTGGTAAGGTTAGGTTTTTGGTTGAGTTTGGTTAGGTTAGGTTCGTTTACCTACTTACAATATTCATGTTATTGATAAACTAACCTAATCTAATCTAATCTAAGCCCGCATTCCACAATTTAAGGTTTGTTTACTTACAATACTCATGTTATTGATAAACTAACCTAATCTAACCTAACCTCACCTAACCAAACTTAACCTAACCTAACCAAACTTATCCTAACCAAACACCAAACTTAGTTAAACTTACTTAACCTAACCTAACCTAACCAATCCTAACCCAAAATAAAGCCCGCATTCTACAATGGCTTAGAGTCACCCATAAGAGCCATGCGTTAGTACATAAGTAGCCAGCGGCCGCTTTTCCGGGGATATTTTACTTAATAGTGGCCCGATCGTAATAAAACTTACATATTATTATTCAGGAGGAATTTCCGCACAATTTGAGTACCCACAACATGGGTTTTGGGCAAAAAAAGATTTTTCCCGTTTTTCCCATTTTCTGGGAAAACGGGACATTTCCGCAAAAAATGAATATCATTTTTGGAATCAGCACTAAAAAACGAACAGATTAAAAAAAAATGTTAGAGCGTTGACTGGAGGTTGACATAATTAGGATACCTAATCGATATTGATCGATAAGTTAGGCCTAGCCTATATTCATTCGAATGAGTGTAGGACGTAAACTAAAGTGCAGCCTTAGTATTTGATAACTTACCTAGGTTAAAAACCACTATTTATAGTGTATTCAAAATTTGATCGGAACTTAATAAATTTGATAGCCTAACTTTATTAAAACATTTTAAAATTGAATTTTAAAAAGAATTTTAAAAATTTAATGACATGGTTTGGTGGTCAGAGAGGGGATTCCGATCCACGATTCTCGAATTGCACTGGATGCCTAGACGCTTGTAACTTTTAAAGCCACTGAACAGAGCCCAAGGGACTTTTTCAAAAGTGTAATATTAGTTTGCAAATCTACTCACCTAGCTAGACTGACATTTTGGTAAATAATATTGTGGGGTTAAATCTTTAAACAAAAAAGCCTTATTGTTCACAAAGTTTCAAGTAGGCCTAGCGAATTAATTATAACTTATAAGTTAGCCTATAGGCCTATAAGTTATAGGCCATAGATTAGATAGGGCCTACTCATAAGTTAACAAGGGGAACTACAGAGCCACTGGGGCGGAGCCGAAAAGGATTTTTGAGATAAGAATATGTCTATAGGTTAATCGCGAATGTGAGCTATTATCATGCCAAATTTCAGCCCAATCCGTCCAGTACGGTAATGCATGATTGAACTTTAAACATAAACAAACAGATTAAGCTCAGCTAAACTAATCTAATGAACTTGAAGAGACAATCTCTGGTGAACTCCGTGCGGCGCTGGATGGATCGCGTATAATCACACTCAATTTAAACTAACCTAACCTACCCTAACCCAACCTCAGCTCTTAATTTTCAAAATCTATTAGATGACAGAAAAGACATGTAAGGAAGACAGGTTGGACTTCATATGTGTTTGTGACTGTAAGTCCTTTTAAGATCTAGGTTAGATTAAGTAGCCTAAGTTAAAGTTTAAGTTATGTTATAATTAACTGACTCATTAATTTATCCTCCAGACTGTTTTTGCACATTTGAAATAGTGGGTGAAACACAATAAATAACAAATAATTATATAGGTGTCAAAAATGCATATGTTTTAGGCCTATACTAATCCCTCGACCTTATTGAGCATGTACGTACAATGGCTAGCCTGGCCGAGGAGTGTTCCCCTCGTGCTGGAAAACAGCTAGGCCTGTGCTCATGGGGAAGCGGAAGGGAGACCCAGACCTGCCATTCTCTTAAAGACCTTAGTGTATGTAAGATACGGCTGCGAAAGTCCTTGAAAAGTCGATCCGCTCCCGGCTGAATTCAGCCGTGGTCGCTGCCCCCTCGTCAGTACGGCTAGAGGAAGGAGTCAATTGTCGACGCTATTGAGGAGGTGAAGCCAGCCGAGATGAAAGCTGAAGGGTTTTCTGCCACTCAATGTGTGAACATTTAACTCCACAAAGTATTGTGTTATGCTGGACGGTCTGGAGACCATCTGTCTCCATGTTCCGGCATGCCTTATGCGCACATAAAAACCTCGAGTTCCGCATCCTTATCCATGACACTCACAGAAGGCCACAATGAGTGACACTTCTGGTGCCGTTTGCCGTTTTAGATTTCATACTCAGCCCGAACGTCTGGAATGTTGCCTACGACGTCCTTTCGAGGTCTGAAAAGCCTGAGCAAACTTCATGATGGAATGGCCTCTGGATCACCTGAATTAACTATATACCTAGTGGTGTAAATTACCCTTTTGCTGTCAAAACGATCCTTTGTGGTTTGTTAAGACAACCGCTGTTTCATGCTTTAAATGGAGAACATCATCCGGCCAGAAGAATGTCCAGTAGATTTCATCGGATATTCTTGTAGTGGAGTTTGTCAAAAACTAATAACAAATAGGTAACGATACACATAACACATGGAAACAAGAAAAATTTAGTGCTGGTCAACCAGATGACGAGTTTGGTATGAGGAACTGCCTGACCAAAAAAGCGGATCGACACCATTCCATTGAAGATGGGGGACGTCGGAAGTCCAAATCGTTTAGCTGGCGGGACCAGATCTTCCATACGGCAGACAAGGCCGCTAGAGTGGTTCTTCTCTTAGCCTGTTGTCGGGGGTCTGAGGTCCACTCGCAGAAGGTTGTTGATGTCTTCGATCCAGTCTGTACTCCTGGAGGTGTAGGCAGAGGATCTCAATAAGGAGGTATACAGCATGTGGTAGCATCAATCTGCCTATCGAACAATGTCCGAAAGTGTCATCCGGGTGGTTGCAGGAGTCAACCCGTCAAAATTGTGGTGGCTTCTTGTTTTCCCAAAAAGAATATGATACACCCAAGAACTAAAATTTCCACACTAACAACTTCAAGTCGTGCTTGTTAGTTTGGTACTTCTTAAAACAATTTTTTTACCTGTCCCATAGTTTTGGTTTAGGCCTACTGTATCTTGTTTTATAAGTCATACTTTACTTAATGTTATATACGGTACTTAATAACTTACTTACTATGTTTACAGATGGAGAATATTCTGCTAGAAATTGCTATAGAAGTAGCCAAGTACCTCACGCCTCGAGATATATCTTCCTGTTGTGCAGTATCTCTTCACTGGCGAGAAGTATTCGGTACCAATCAGGTAATTATCCTCAGTTTATTAGGAGGTTTTAAGCTAAATGTATAAACCAAAAACAAGTTAAACACTACCGGTAATTGTACTCCAATAAATAACTGTTATTCTGATGGTTTACTGACCAAAAGTTTAGTAAAAGAATTTAACAAGAAGTTAACATGATTATTCTAGAAATTGGTAGTTATTGGTATTTTTAAATGTCATAGTTTATGTCCAAGAAGAGACATAGGTAGCCTACTCTGACTTTAAGTACTCTGTTGAACAAATCTATATGCAGTAACTTAAAATTTAAATTGGCATGGGGAAAAACAATAATACACTAATCTTGACCTTTAAGAAGAGGCTTAGTTCAACTAAGTAATTAGTTAATTGTTAACAATTTTAGAAAAAGTCGGCAGGACCACCGGTTGTCTTGGATTTTTTGCCCATAACGACAATGTTAATGGTTGAGGAATATTACGGCATTGTTTATTGAGGTAAAAAGTTGAAAAACTTCTCATTTTAAAGCTTCTGAAACCACGGATGTGATTTGCTATTTACTTTTAGCGAATTTCCCATATAGAGAATAAGCTATTACCGTAGTACTCATGATAAGACCTGGACCCGGGACCGATTTAATTTTTCATTTTGAGGTCCCTAGAGGCCAAAAACACCATCCGTACAAATTCATATATATATACAGGGTGTCCATAAAAAACGTTTCAGGACTTTGGGAAATGAATTAATACCCCCGCCGCAGCAAACCTGCAGACTAAGCGAATTTCCATTTGCCTGATTGGATTTACACTAAAATGCCTCCTTAAATATATCACATTTATTTCCTATTTAAATAGAATAAGTTTAACGAGTACTTAGGTTTGCTGCAACAGGGAGAGTAATAAAAAAGTGTTTTTTGTTGTATAATGTTATTAGTTTAGTAAAAAATTAATGTATTTTCCAAATTCTATCAAAATATGTTCATTAATAAGCAAACTACAACAGTTGGTTTATTCTCCATAAGAATAACATAGGAATTTTAAATTTACAATTTTTTTGAATTTTCTCCGTAACCATTAGGCGCACAATAACGTTTCAATATACTAAATTCTTTGTTTTTTTAAGCTCTACAAAATGGTTTGGAAAGAAACTGAAATTTTGTGGTTTTAGGGTCAAAAATGGGAATACCGGGTGTTTCTAAATGAATAGCTGGGTTTTAACGCTTTATAACTTTTATACTATTAAACTTACCACCACAAAATACGCATCAAATGAAAAACCAACTCAAAGAGTTTATGCCTTCCAAAGAAACATTATTTAACAAAATCGATCCAACAGAACTGTAGATTTAATTGTACAAAGTTAAAAAGTAATCTCCAACTTTTTTTCACCACTAGAAATTCGGAGGTTGCTTGACGTTTTTGCAAATAACTTTTAAATGGTGAGGAAATCGACCAATGTGGAAGGTAATATTCCGAAAGAGAATAAAATTTCCTACAATCTACTATTATGCATTTTTTGAAAATACTCAAGAAAGGTACCAAAAATTGCCTCAAAATGAAAAAATTGAAAATCCCTGTCTTCAATGTAGACAATAAACATAGCAAACATTAAATTTCACACTTTTTTATTTTAAGCCAAATTTAGGCTACATTTATTGAGTATTTTCCTGAAATGCATAGTAGTAGATTGTAGGAAATTTTATTTTCTTTCGGAATATTACCTTCCACATTGGTCGATTTCCTCACCATTTAAAAGTTATTTGCAAAAACGTCAAGCAACCTCCGAATTTCTAGTGGTGAAAAAAAGTTGGAGATTACTTTTTAACTTTGTACAATTAAATATACAGTTCCGTTGGATCGATTTTGTTAAATAATGTGTCCTTGGAAGGCATAAACTCTTTGAGTTGCTTTTTCGTATGATGCGTATTTTATGGTGGTAAGTTTAATAGTATAAAAGTTATAAAGCGTTAAAACCCAGATATTCATTTAGAAACACCCGGTAACCTATTTTTACCCCATAAAACCCCCCATAAACCCCCGTTCCCATAGTCCGATCATGCTGGTTCGCGAACTCGTTTTAATAAATGTAGGTTTACATGTTTATACCAAATTTCATCAAAATCGGATCATTTTTGCTCGAGTTATCGTGTTCGCTAAAAGGAAGAAAAAAGTTTATGGGAAGGTATGTCCGAAAATGCATATTAACCCAGATATCCGCCATTTCGTTTTTTATACAAAAATATTTTTATCTGTAAAGTTTTTATTCGATGATTATGCAATTTGGTAAACATGTTAACATACACAATACCTATAATAGAAGTTGTTCCGATTGTAAATTTCAAAATGGCGGCCGTTTGCATTTTTCTAACTTAAATAACTCAAAAACGGCTAATTCTATGAAAAAATGTCAAGGATACTTTTTTTTTGCATTTTTAATTTCCTATCAAACCATACCAAGATCCAAGATCAAAAAGATCAGACGAAAGATAACTGAAATATAACGTTTTTTGTGTAAAAATATGGCAAAATTAAGTGTTCTCCGAGTAACTTTGCCTTATTTTTACACAAAAAACGTCATATTTAAGTTATCTTTTATCTCAACATAATATTTTCTGCTTGGTAATTAAGCTTACAGTGCATGATTAATGTGCTTCAATGAGAATGCCTGTTTTTGTCAATCGGCGCTCAGACAACCACACCGTTTTGCCTCGCATCTGACCATCACAGCAGAACTGTGTTTTGCGTATGATAATAATAACATTAACAATTAAAAATTATAATAATAATATCTATGGTTCTTACGGTCAACGCAATCAGGCGTGATATTCCACTACGGCCGTTTCGAAGATGACTCCATCGTCTGGTGCGTAGTGGTACACTAAGTTGACCCCTGACTAAACTATAGTCTTGTCACATTTAACACGAATTGTCTTCATTTGCATTGCGTCAGGGGTTGAATAAATAATACACATATAAGCACAGGACAGACACACGAAAACATTTAGAGGGCGTGCACGGCTTGAAAACTGACGACCGACTGTTCAATCCTGGTTTGAAAACATCTTTGTACATCTTTTGTACTTACATCTTTGTATTCAATATGACGGATCCAAGATGGTGGCCAAAAATTTATACCCATTCAAAATGAAGTACTTACTACTCTATAATGACGTGGATTTCTTAAGAAATGTAGAAAAAAGTAGGAGGGGAACTCATTTAAAACTCACCCTGTATTTATTTATTTATTTATTTATTTACGGCAAAATCGCCATTTGTACAATCAATTACATGCATAACAATTTGTGGATCAATAAATACTATTACATGCTGTAAGTTTTACATCTTGCTATTTGGTCATGCTTTAAGCATACATGCTAACACTAATGATTCGCAACTGAGTAATGAAAAATAAAAAACAAATATAAACTATGAACATACAACATCGGCAAACAAGAAAAAAAACATGCAATGGTCTTGAAATTGAACTAACATTAACAGCCTGCTTCCCTAAATACAGGATCGAAAAGGAAAACATAAAAACTTTGAATATTTGACAGTGCAATAAAATATACAAACTTAACAATAACAAGTATGAACAATGAGAGTGTGACAATGATTGATTGTGACTTAAGTGGGAGGAACATGAACCGAGATGAAAGTTATAAAATATGAGTTGAAAATTTAACATTGCAAATATAAATTATGAAAGAAAACTTAACAATAACAAGAAGGCAAAAAGGTGATCGTTTGACAATGATTGGACTAGAATAAAATTATGGCTTATATAATGAAACTAGGAGAACATGTGGTAATGGAGGAAAACAAGTTGTTAAGGAGCACGACACTAACTCCAATACTCTGCTTTCACCCCCCTCACACACAACACAGCGCAGAAACAACAAGGGGAAAAGGAAGCTATCTTCAATTGGAGAAGATCCTCTTCAGTGCAGAATCACTGTCATTAAAGAAGTCATAATCGTGATGCTGAGTTAGAGTATTCCCCTGACGATGAAGTCTTGGAACAGGACTGTGAAATCCGTAGCTGGTTGAACACTGATGTCGGTGGAACAACTCCTGGGTCCGAGTGGCCTTGGGGATTCGAAACGTGATAAGATCAAGTAACTCAGGACAGTCGATCATATTTGTAAGAAGTCTTTTGAGGAAGAGGGCATCGATCATCTTTCTTCTTTCTTCCAGAGGTGTCAGCTTCAGGTAGTTTGCTACATCATCGATAGGGACGGTAGAATAGTTGAATCCCAATTTAACACCAATTACTCTAATGAACCTTCTTTGGATTTTTTCGAGTCTATCTTTGTGTCCAGTTAGATATGGGGACCACGCTACGCTAGCTTATTCCAACACAGGTCGTACAAGTGAGGTGTACAAAATCCTAAGAGCTTCGGTGTTGATACCATCTCTGGACGCACGGCACGGATGATGAAACCCAAAAGCTTTGATGATCTAGTGCAAACTGAGTCTATGTGCCGATCTGGACTGAGGTTGGATGTCAAAATCACTCCAAGATCCTTTATTGTTACTTTTCTCTCTAGTATAGTGTCGTGTAGCATGTAATTCCAGAGGATTGGTTTTATTCCCCTTGAGAAAGTAATAGTAGCACATTTTCTTTCATTCATAGTCATTGCATTATGTTTGCACCACATCTCAATATTCTGTAAACTGTGTTGAAGGTTTTCACAATCGTGTTCATCTCGTACCGTATCACAGAATAGACCTTAATGTCATCAGCAAATAGTAGGCATTCAACATCTATTACTTCAACAAGGTCATTGATAAAGATATTGAATAAAAAAGGTCCCAGATGGGATCCTTGCGGTACACCTGAACTTGCTAAAAAGGGTCTAGAGAGTGATCCTCTGAATTTCACAATGAGAGTACGACCGGAGATGTAGGAATTAAACCAGTTGAGAAGATTGCCATGTATACCACAATTGTTGAGTTTATGCAATAGGAGCTCGTGATTAACACTGTCGAAGGCTTTTTTGAAGTCAATATAAATGCTGTCAACCTGATATTTTTGGGCAAAAAACTTCATGATAAAGTTTTCGTATACCACAAGATTGGTGACCGTGGATCTTCCGGCGAGAAAGCCATGCTGTTCCTTTGTGAATACACTTTTGAAGGGAAATGCGAGCTGATCAAGGACAAGACTCTCAAACACTTTACTCAAAGTTGGTTGAATCACAATTGGCCTGTAGTTCTGGACATTGGACTTGCTGTCAGATTTATAAACAGGTATGACATAGCTAGTCTTAAGAACATCGGGGAAAACTCCTTTTTCTAAAAGTTTGTTAAAGAGAACCGTGAACTGAGGAGCGAGAATAGAGTGACAATATTTTAGAACATTTGGAGGGATTCCGTCAGGTCCTGCTCCCTTATAAGGATCCAAGGTGGTCATCTTGCGCTCCACATCTTCACACCTCAACTTACAGGCTGATATGCCATGACTTACATTGCTATTATTGGTGACTAGCTGTTCCAAGTCGATGCTTTGATCCGTAAAAACCGAGGCAAAGAAGTCAGCAAAAAGGTTGCACACGTCTATACTGGCAGGGATTTCTTCTGGTCACCAAGTTGAAAAGTTTCGTTAGTATGCAAGGCTTGTTTACGCTCATTGACAAAGCTCCAAAAGGATTTCAAGTTGTTAGGTATAGTAGCATTCACACGGTTGAGGTATGTCTGATAGCAATGTGAAGCCGTGGTACTGCACAAGGTGCGAGCTCGACGGAATTCATCATAACTCTCCGCTCTCCGGTAGTAAAGTTGATTTATAAACTTTATGGAGCCGCTTTTTCTCGATGACTAACCTTTTCAGCCTAGGTGAGAACCAGATGGGAAATTTGGAAGCCTTTACTTTCTTGATCGGAGTGTTTGTAAGAACCACACCTTGAATTTTTTCAATAATGTCATTGAAAAACAACAACGTATACATCAGGCACATCAAAATAGACTGTATCCAAAGTGTGGCGAAGATTTTCATAAATGTTGTCTAAGTTACATCTGCTAAAGTCTGGTATTGTAGTGAGGGATCCTTCCGTGGGTGCAGAGGTGAGCGAAACATCGATAGAAATTGCAGGATGGGCATCCTCCAAGGGAAGGAGCTGATCAACGGCTTGAAGTACGGTGTGGTTAGTTTCAGTAATTACTATAACATCATAAACGCATGCTGCAATGGCCTTTCTGAGTGATTGAATTTTTGTACGTAATCCATTTGCGTTCTGGTAGTATATATGAAGGCCATTACGTAGCTTGATTAGTTTTTTGGTTTGGAATTATTAACAATCTTGGGTACGCCATTGCGATATTTAATAGTTAAGTCAGACTCCCCAGCGTTCTTCCTACGTTCCAGTTCACTTATGAGGTTCTTCAGATGTTCTATTTCCTTTGGAGTTCTGTCTCGGGAAATGTCGAGTTCGGAGAAAGACTCGTCCAGTTTGCTTTTGTCAAATCTGGAACTAAATTCACGAGCGTCTTCGATAATTTTAAATATGATTTTAAGGGGACGAAACTTGCCGCTTGCATGTTTACCTATGCGGTACGTTTTAAATGAGTAAGAATCCTTTGAGAGATCCAGAGCATTGATAATATCTTTGACAAGTTGTCTGTCATGTTTGATCCTCTCTAACGTGTTCTTGCTAGAGGATTCACGAATGCCGCGAATTATTACATTGTCAGCACGAGCATTTCATTCACTGATTTCCTCGACGACCGCCTCAATGGAAGTAGAAGAAGGATCAGCGGATGAGAGAGTACTAAAGTTGTTCTCTAGGGTTTCTATTCGTTTCTCAACTTCGGATAGTCGGTGCTCGAGATTCGTTAGCTTTTCATTGATGACAATCAAATCAGCCTTGATATCACCTATATCGACAGGAACCCTGGATAGATCATTCAACTTACTCAAAACCTCAGACATTTGTGAGATTAAGATCTGGCCTGGATTCTGTTTGGTGGTCACGCAATCAACCCTTTCACAGACCCATTTGCAATTGTTATCCTTTGCAAGTTTTTGATATTCGGGGCCGGATACCCCAACACAGTGAGCGTGAAACCACCGCTCACAGAGATGCTCACATTGGAGTCCCTTCTCCGAGTCCAATACTTTCTTGAAGCAAATTGAGCAGGTTGACTGATCCGCTGAGAAATCCATTCTTGACTTGAAAAGTGTGAAATTATAAAGAGGTTTAAGTATACTATTCAAATCCTTCGCCCTGGTGAGAGAGGTAGAAAATCAAACAATATTAACAATGTACTAGAGGTTTCATGTATAACAGATTAGAAAACAATGGCACTTTAAAGCTGCATGCATAAAAATCTAATAGCCTTTACATGCAGTTACATGTAGTGCTACAGGTTGCATGGCATGGAAATTGAACTAGCAATGATGATGATCATTGTGCAGAAAAAGGGCTTAAAGCAGAAGACAGACGCCAGTTCATTCCTTTCAGGTAGTTGGTCGTCTGTAGAGCAAGTAATAAGTAATTAAATAATATTTTCCAAAAGTTTTCAAATAGATAATTATAAAAGCTGGACTAATATTGAAGCAAAAGAAATTCAACTCACATAACGTAAATGAAGCTCAGGTAAAACTAAATAACAAATGCACAGATGTAGAACATGAAGATCAGAGATTCATCCACAGAGCAAAAAAAAAAAAAAAAAAATTGTATAAATTGTTTTCATTATGCTATCAAACTGTTAGGCTATGTCAGCAAATAACGAATGAATGTGATCGCATGCAAAACAACTTGTCAGTTGTCAAAGAAAAATTTAAACTATGTACTGTATTATTAATAAAATTCTCTAAAGTAGGCAGAAAATTTAACAACTCTAGGGGGTACCTGACTAAAAAAATAGCATAATTACAAATTAGTATAAAGTGGCAGAACGGTAACGGTTTCATTCTCTGAATTAAATCACTAGATAACGAAAGACTACTGATAGCATCCACATAATTATGAGGAATGGCTTTTCTCAGTGATTTGTAGGAATGATACCCCAAAATATTCTTTATGTCAGAGTAAAACCATAGACTAGCCAACACAAGTAGACTTCTCATCCCATTGTAAATTTTGAAGCTTGTTTTTCGTGTCTAGTTCATATAAGGTGACACTAGGCGCTAGTGTCAACGACATTTTGTTTCTATTAATTTAGAGTTACTGGTAATTTCTTGATTTGAGCTTTACTGTTTGGTTATATAACAAGTGTACGAGTTATTGTTAATGCTTGGATCTTATTATTTGGTTAAACGAGGTTTTAAATAACTGAATAATTAACAAGAAACAAATTGTAATTAAAACTTTACCTCTACAATGCACCTTACATAACTAGCAATAGAATTGGCTTCCATAAGGATGAGAAATCTACTAAGGGAGTAAATCTGTTATACTATGTTACCTCTATTGGATTGTTATAAATTTTACTGGATTCAAATGACATTTTCTTTCCTTGGAAACCAGTTCAAGTTCCTGACTTGGGCTAACTAGCATTGCTTATACCTTGTTTACACATATATTTACCTAAAATTATTTGTAGGTTTGGAAAGGACTGTGTGATTCCGAGTTAGATGAGCATCTGAGGACTACACCGTGTGTCGTAGAGCCGCAGTTCTCTCTCCCTGAACAACACTGCTCTTTAGCTCCGCTCAGTCAGTGGCGAACAGCTTACCTGCGGGAACAACATCTGTGGAAGAACTGGCGAACTGGCAACTGTAAAACTGTGGAACACAAACTGGGGAAAAATAAAACCTCCGAAGAGCTGTTTGTCACTAATGACTTGATAATGGCGTTTTATAGAGACTCAATAGAACTGTTGGACTTGAACACCCACGTTCCTACTCGAAAGGATTTACTACTGCTAGGTGAAAGATGTTATTATACATCCAGGGCCTTAAATAATGGAATCATTATTTTAAATGGTTTTCATTCTGAAGGAGACGACTTTATTAAAATTTTTAGGGTAGATCTAGCCCAAGGCACTATCAATTATAAATGGCAGGTAGAATTAAACTTTGATTATTCATTTAAACTTGTGTCCAGCAATAAAAAAGGATTGAATAATTTCAATTCTATGGACCAATTTGATCTAATAATTACTCCTGGAGGAAAGTGTATTGGAAATTTTTGGTTTTGTAAAGAAAATGACTCTTTCTACATATGGGATTTGGAAAATGGAGTGGAACTAAGAAAGGAATGTTGTTCTACAAGCTTGCCAGAAGGAGGGTTGGGTATTGTAGGATGTAAACCCGGATCAAAATGTGAAGATATCCTAGTACTCCTTCCCAATACAACGTTTTCTGATCTTCCTGGAATAGTGTCAGTGACATGTCGAGTTTATAATGTACATCAACTATGTTTCTTACCCTTCGAGCAAACTTTTTCAGTTATTTCCGCGTTTTTAATTGAACTAGATCCCATCGACTTCTGTGCAATAACTGACAATTTTTTGGCTCTTTCAGACTGTGATGTGAATAATCCAGAAGAGTTTTCTGGTGTCAGAGTTTACAACTACAGATCTGGAAATTTATTACATAATTTACCCTCTAAAGGGACGATTGAGATCATAAATGATTCACATTTTTTGTTTAAAATGCCAAAAGATGATAAAACTGTTTTGTGCTCTGTTTTCTATCCATCTAGAGCTATTTTGAAAAATAAGATAACTAAAGGCTTTGAAGTCAATGATTTTAGTGTTGTTCAGAAGGGACTTGTAGAAATAAATTCAACCCTAGTTATAAATCATTTTCTTGAAAATTCTTCAACCCAAGTTTGGAGGTTGAATCGATACTCCTCTTTTAAAACTGGTGTACTTTTGTATGAGAGTATAGATGTAAATCGAGCCTTCACAAAGGTTATAACAAGTTTCAGCCCTTTCCCAGAGCAAGATGAGGACACATTCAGAGTCATTTACTTTTGGTAATGTTGTAGTGACAGTATGTTAGTGTTATAATAAATGTAAGTTGTAATTGTATTATTTAATTATTTATTGTATTTTGTGTAGAACTGGTACAAACAACTTGCAATGATAAATAACATAGGGTTCTGAAGATGGTGAGATTTAAAAATGCCAGTAATTGAGAAAGTTGAATTATGGAAGTTTTAAATTGCAAAAGTGAATACATTACACTTTCTTTTAACCCATGATTTTATGAAACACTAGCTGTGTGCCCGTTCTAAGCACGGGGATCTTAAAGTAGTCAGTTGAAACCTTCTTATATTAAGAACAGCAGTTGGTTTGCATATTTTCAGATATACTGACAAAACTATTATATATAACCCTTCGCAAATACAGTATCTGACAGTTTCAAGCCAAAACAAATGCTTCGCAATTAAGTGTCACCCGGATTGTGTTGGTCCATATGTTAAATCCAATGATTAAACTAAAAAAAGCTTTATAGGCCTAGATCTATGAGGCATAGCCCTAAGGTAGGCCTATAGTTGAAAGTTACTTCCCACAATGGTTAAAAGTATTTAAATTACTACCTCAACCTCGCCATTTAACACTTTATTCGGGTTGACATTTTTATTTTCAAGGTGCTCTTGTCCTTTTCGTGACACTGAGAAATAAGGACATTAATGCGTTACCAACAGACATACACAAAAATACAGAACTTAATTAGGGAATTTGCTACGTTTTAAGCATAACAAAGTACATATAAAATTAGAATTTGAAATCTTTGTCAATGTCATCAAATTTTATCATAACAATTTATATTTGCTTGGACCGAAGATGACCCGAAATGCTGTCGTAATGACGGCTTACTATATGAAATGAAGTACTATAGACAATTTAGATTAAATGAGTTATCATTTTCTTAGCATAAACTAACATTTTGGAATCCAGACAGAAAAAGCAAAACTTATACAGTTAAGACATCAATTAAATTGAATACGGCTGTAATACGACTGTATAAATAAGGTGCAACTCAGCAACTCCAACGATAACTAATTTGTAAATTACGTGTTTGATACGTAAAAATAGTTCTTGGAGCTACCAACGGTTATAAGGAAAAGAACCAGTACCAAAAACCAACGTTTACAGTTAAGAATTGCGTCCAACAAGTTAAATGCGTTAATCAAGTCCCAAGGTTATTGATTTCTTGGTTTTGGATTTTCTTGTAAAAGGTTATCGGCAATCAAAGTTATTTCCCATTAATTGCTTTATTCTTAAACAACTTTTAATGTAAACTTATTGGTGTCAGTTAAAAAAAAAATAACCTTATACAAACTACTTTTTGTTATTTAATAGATTACGTATTCTCTAAACAATGATTGGTATATCTATTAACATTAGAAGGAAATGTGACAAAAATCACACAATGCTGGGTTTTTGGACGTTTGTAATTTTATTTCTTTAGTAGGGTGTATTCTTTAGTAGTGTATTCTAGGGAAAAGTACCGGTATCAAGGATCGTCGTCGAAAAGGTTGTTATGAATAATTGGGTAGGCGTAAGTACCCAAGAGATGGGCTATGGGCCTATTGGCTGTATGGTCCAGCGATTGCATCACACGGTGAGTAGGAACAGAAAGTGACACATTGGAAAAGCGAGTTTAGCATCATCCATAAACCGTAAACCTATGATTTAATCACCCACAGCAGTTGTGATTTTTTACTTTACACTTTACACAAACGCCATTAAAGCGCCGTCAATGAGTGGAAACCATGTTTGTAAGCTATTGGCGACGATCATTAATAAATTTAATTCCCAGTCCTATACAACACTGATTCAAGGTCTTCTTTCTGGTTATCAAAACTCAAGAACAATTTTATACACAAAGAATCTCTGGTTCTTGACCTGGATGATGCCTAGTTATTTAATTTCATTTACGTTTACACTATATTATTCCACTTGCGATTAATTAAATCCGTTATGTAAGAAATACGTTTTTAATCTCACTTGGTTGGGATTAGCCTTCAAAATGTGATCGGAAATGGTTGCGGTATTTGTAAACAACATTTGTAAACATATCAGTGACAGCTAGAAAAAATAATCTTGATCCGAACAGCTGTTCGTTATTTCATAGATGATTATGTGATAAAAATTTGACGAAACCTTGACAAAAATCGCACAAAACTACATTTTTGAACGTCCGTAATTTTATTAACAAAGTAGTGAGGCAATATTTTAATGGCTAAAGACACTCTCGCCAATCCAGTGAATAAATTAAAATGACTTGGATCTTGATAGGTACTCTCGTTTTCCTGGAGAAGATTGTGTAAAATGCCATCTTGAGTGTTACAGACAGGAAGACAGACAGACAGACAGACAGAAATTTAGATGAGACTTGTTTCGGCTTCTTTAATGTATAAAACGTAAAAATAACCTAAAAATTTATGATTCTGAGCAATGTACAGACAAAACTCTAATTTTATTTATATAGATGACTTGGATCTTGATAGGTACTCTCGTTTTCCTGGAGAAGATTGCGTAAAATGCCATCTTGAGTGTTACAGAAAGACAGACGGACAGAAATGTAGATGAGACTTGTTTCGGCTTCTTTAATGTATAAAACGTAAAATACGTAACAAACGTACGTAAAAAACATAATAACCTACAAATTTATGATTCTGAGCAATGTACATACAAAACTCTAATTTTATTTATATAGATAATGATAACAATTAAAAATATAAAATATTTGGTTTTACATTACCTTTATCAGTTCCAAAAGTAACATGTAACACGTTGACGAAAGTTACTTTTGGAACTGATAAAGGTAATGAAAAACCAAATATTTTATATATTACAGTTCCGGGGCTACAACAATGAATTGAAAACAATCAATTTTAATTTGTACTTTGTGTTTTTCTATTGTAATATTATAGAGTTCAAATTAATAATAACAACACTTTTCAAAACAAATAAAATAAAATAATCTACAGGGTCAAATTCAATGAGTTTTGGGACTGGTTGGAAGGTACCATTACACTTGCTTAATACTCAAAATACCTTCCTTCTGCTTCGATACACTTAATTCGGCGTCTGCCACTCACCAAAAGCCCAGCGAAAGTCAGTTTCCGGAATGCTGTTGAAAACCGCTCTCGTCGCCGCTTGAACCGCCTTGATGGAGTCAAACTGCCGATCTTTCAGATGCCCTTTTTACTCATGGAAATAAGAAAAGTCAGGTGGAGTCAGATTTGGGCTGTAGGGACATAGCTCGTTATTAGAGTTATAGGATTTGTCTTTATGTATCGTGTGATGAAATACTTTAATAGCCTTCTAACTATTAAGTTGGATGTTGTACATATTCCTTAATTTAGGCTATTTAATTATAGCTTTCTAAAATTGCATAAATCGTTCATATGTTTTTCTTCATTATAAAATTCCTCCCCCACATCCTTGCTGCTAAGAGGGTTAGTTAGCTACTAAAGTAAAGTATGGTATATTTGTTATCAAAAAGGGTTTAGATTTAACATAAGCAGACCTTACCAGTTGAAGACCAGCCCTAAAGTTTGGCTTTAACTTCAATGATTTTAAGCCGTAGGTAGGGTAAAGTTGTTTTGAAATATAGTACTGTACTACCGTTTTCATTCAATAAAATGTTGGTTCCTGATTATTTGTTTTAACGAATTTCCCATATAGGGAATAAGCTATTACCGTAGGTCTCATGGTAAGACCTGGACCCGGGACCGATTTACTTTTTCGTTTTGAGGTCCCCAGAGGCCAAAAACACCATCCGTTCAAATTCATATATATATACCTATATATATATATATATATATATATGTGTCCGTTAGCACGATAACTCGAGCAAAAATGATCCAATTTTGATAAAATTTTGTATAAACGTGTAAACCTACATTTATTCGAACGAGTTCGCAAACCAGCATGATCGGACTATGGGAACAGGGGTTTTATTTAGTATATTGAAGCATTGTTGTATGCCTAACGGTTACGGAAAAAATCACCAAAAAGTGTAAATTTAAAATTACCATGTTATTCTTATGGAGAATAAATAAACTGTTGTAGCTTGCTTGTCTATGGACATATTTTAATGAAATTTTGTTTACTTCATACTAAGCTATCAATATTTCAATAAAAAACCCCTTATTTCTTCCCTGTAGCTGCAAACATAAGTACTCATTAAATTAATGATATTTAAATCTATATAAATAAAATTAGAGTTTTGTCTGTACATTGCTCAGAATCATAAATTTGTTGGTTATTTTTACGTTTTATACATTAAAGAAGCCGAAAAAGTCTCATCTAAATTTCTGTCTGTCTTTCTGTAACACTCAAGATGGCATTTTACGCAATCTTCTCCAGGAAAACGAGAGTACCTATCAAGATCCAAGTCATTTTAATGTATTCACTGGATTGGCGAGCGTGTCTTTAGCCATTAAAATATGGCCTCATTACTTTGTAAATAAAATTACGGACGTTCAAAAATGCAGTTTTGTACGATTTTTGTCAAGTTTTCGTCCAATTTTAATCACATAATCATCTATGAAATAATGAACAGCTGTTCGAATCAAGATTATTTTTTCTAGCTGTCACTGATATGTTTACAAATGTTGTTTACAAATACCGCAACCATTTCCGATCACTTTTTGAAGGCAAATCCCAACCAAGTAAGATTAAAAACGTTTTTCTTACATAACGGATTTAATTAATCGCAAGTGGAATAATATAGTGTAACCGTAAATGAAATTAAATAACTAGGCATCATTCAGGTCAGGAACCAGAGATTCTTTGTGTATAAAACTGTTCTTGAGTTTTGATAACCAGAAAGAAGACCTGAATCAGTGTTGTATACGGCTGGGAAACTTTATTAATGATCGTCGCCAATAGCTTACAAACAAGGTTTCCACTCATTGACGGCACTTCAATGGCAGTTGTGTCAAGTGTAAAGTAAAAAATCACAACTGCAGTGGGTGATTGTAACAGAGGTTTACGGTTTATGAATGATGCTAAACTCGCTGAACCATACAGCCAATAGGCCCATAGCCCATCTCTTGGGTACGTACGCCTACCCAATTATTCATAACAACCTTTTTGACGAAGATCCATAATATCGATACTTTTCCCTAGAATACTCGGCCCCTACCGGTACTTAAAATTGCAAACGTCCAAAAACCCAGCATTGTGTGATTTTTGTCACATTTCCTTCTAATGTTTAAAGATATACCAATCATTGTTTAGAGAATACGAATCTATTAAATAACAAAA